AGGTTCTCGCTTTGTTTATACGCACCGGTCACCCAATTGGGAGCTTGTCCCAGGCAGCGAGTAGGTAGTGCCTTTACGGGTGCTACCTAGCTTCAAGCAGCCGAAACAGCTGGTCCTTCGAGCCGGATAAGAAAGGCCGTACATTACGGCCGATCTGCAAAGGAGTGGAAAAGAAGAAATGGCGTCGACTCTAAGATATTACATGAAGAACGCGTCTCGTCGGACCCGATCGCCGCTCTCTGCAAGGCGCGCGACTGTTGCATGCAACCCATGTCCGAGAGATGTCTGTTTGTCGACGATATCGAGAGATAGACAAGCTGCTACGAAGAAAGAAGCACATAATATGCCGTCGTTAAGAAGAAATGTAAGAAATGCGTCTCGTCGTTCCCCGTCGCCGCTCCTTACAAAGCGTGCGACACACGAAACTGAAGATTGGGCGAGGGATGCCTGTACTTCGGCAGGATTAGATGAAACGTGCGCTTCAATTACGACGACAGAGGCAACGATTCATGGTACGGCGATGTCTGCGGCACCCGTACAAAATACAGCTATTATGAGCCCATCGACTGCATCGATACACGGTGTAACTACAGCCGCTGTATCGGTGAGGCATAGCTGTTATTCTGAGTCTACGAGTTCCTCGAGGAGAAGCCGCGAGCTATCGGCTAGAGAAAAAATAGCCGCGGCAGAATTGAAATTGGCTCGCATACAGTTAGAGCTGGCAGAATGCGAAAGCGAGGACTCAACCGATGAAGAATCAGAAGAAAGTACTTATAATGGCTGCGCATCGCTGCAAAAGATACGGGAACCATACGAAGCCCAACGATGTCAGATACGTCTACCGGTAGAAGAGATAACTAATGGATGCACATCGCTGCGATTTAAAACATATGAGACATTGGACCAGCGATGTGACGTATACCTACCGGAAGAAAATATAATCAATGACTGCACATCGTTACAAGAGATTCAGCGATGTCCGCAGATATTATCGGAAGATTTGACAGTCGTGAGCAAAGAAAATTGTTGTGCTTCGAGCATTGTAACCAGCCGAGCACACTCTCCGACTGATTTTAAACAAGAAGATCGCCCACGCTCGGAATTTACAACTTCGGGTGTGAAGACAAAGAAATGCGAAGTTATGACTAGAGATACAAACGACGCATCGAGAGAAGATATGCAGCAATGGAAAAGCTGTGAAGAAATAAAGCAGCGAGAAAAGCTGATCAAAGAAACGTGTCCGTTATGTCACGGAGGACACGCCCTTGTAAATTGTTGTATATTTCACACGAAACCAATTGAAGAGAAATGGGCAATCGCAAAGAAATATGGCGTCTGTTTCAAGTGCCTATGGGGAAGGCACAGAAGGGCGACTTGTCGGCGGAGTCCGCCGTGTTCAATATGTGGTAAATGGCATCATACTATGCTACATGACAAGTCGATCAGTACACCGAGTACTCAGAAACAGCGAGCTTCAACAAATGAAGATAGCATCGAAGTCCCATGTACAAGAAGAGATAAGACAAGAAAAGTTTATTCGAAAATGGTTCGTGTTGAAGTCTACGGACCAAAGGGCTCTAAGAAAATAATGGCTCTGTTAGACGAGCACTCTACGGTGTCGCTTATTAACGCCGATATAGCAAGAGAGATCGGCGCATCGGGAAGCGTGGAAGAATTACATATGGAAACATTGAGTGGCCAACGAATAAAGGAAGCGCACTCGCAGATCGTGAATCTCCAAATAAAGGGAGTTCACTTGAATAATATTGAAAAATTGGGCGAGGTGCGCACAATAGAAAATTTAAAGTTTGCGCCACAGTTCTTGGATAGAGAAAAGATTATGTCATATTCCCATTTGAATGCTTTAAGCGACATCTTATTTTATGAAGCCGACCCTCCGCAGTTGATCATCGGTCAAGACAACTGGGAGTTGATACTGACGCGAGAGTTTAGAAAAGGGAAGCCGGGTCAACCCGTCGCTTCGAAATCAAGCCTGGGATGGGTGCTACATGGTGTAGACTTTGATAGTACTAAGTCTGCGCACTATTTAAATATATGTATTCAAGACAATTTTGATGACGTCTACAAGATCGCGAACAGTGAAAATGGAAAACGTATTAACGTCGCGAGAACACCCACGCCCAGCCACACCTCGCGGAAGAAGAGAAGGTTAAATAGACGGTCTAAAAGTAACCGCATTGAAAAGAAAATTACTTGCTACGGGCGTCGCAAAGATATAGCTCCGGTAAAAGAGCAGTCGTCACCGCCATCAAAATCGCCGCGTTGGCCTGCATTGAATTCCGGGGCCGTAAGATGCCCGGATATTTTTATCAAAAACGAAATACATTAAGCCAAAACGAATTAATGAATCGCGATATAAGTCTAAAATGGCAAAAGGTGACACTTGGCAGACAGCAAAACTGTGTGGACGTGAGAACCACAGTGATAATATGACCCGTAGCAAGAGGATAAGTCAACATGGCACCGTTTCGAGACTTGATATAGCGAAACGAGTGAAATCGAAAAGTTACGGATCGAAGAATAACATTAGTAAGATTGCAACGCGGCCACCAATGCAAAACGGAAAGAATTACGAGGTTTACAGCGTTCGCAAGATTGAAGAGCACAAGTTGAAAGACGAATCAAATGTAAAAAACATTTCAACTGGGCAAACTGCGGTACGAGCGAAACTGATTATAAATTGTTTCGACAAAATTATGAACCGATACATAAATGGAACGAAGAATACTGACTGGACGATTATAATGTAGCTCGCATGATTTGGATATATGCTCTGCAGCTAAGAAAAGGAAAATTAAAAACACTGCGCGAAACATGATAATTGAAAAAGTATAAATAAGATAACTCCCTCTGTAGTATATGGATATGTTATGGGACAGGATCCAGCGCGTTCATCCTACATTCTGACAAGAGATCGGGACAACGGCGTCAATTAATAAGACGGCGTGCTGGACGGCCATGATTTAATTATAGGTGGCAGAAGCGTCGCCATATTAAGGTCGGTGCTACGCACGTGGGGGAGATTGTTGGCGACGAAAATATTAAATCATCATTTCAAGAATTGAGGCGGCAAGTTGCAAGAAGCTCAATTAGAGGAATAAGCAAAAGGAATTTTTATTATTGAATAGTTATAAACGAACAAA